CTGATTATTAATGTTACACAAAATTTTAATTAGTGATCGACAAGTGATTTGCCTAATCCTGACATGACCACTGATTGATATATGCAATAATTAAATGTGATACAAAAAAAAAAATCACGCGTAATTATTTAACTAATCTAACAAACCAATCACAATCGATGATCTTCAGCCAATGATATCAAACTTTACCTTTACCTATGCTGTCCACATTTTGATTTTAAATATTTTGGACAAGGTTTTGGACATAGAAAAATGTGCTCAAAACTGTCGTGTATGAATAACATAAATAAGTAGAGCGACATGAACAAAACAATTAAAATAAACCAATACTTTGAACAAACTCATACCGATTGGAATATTTTAGATTTCTTAGAACAAAATAAAGAGGAACCCTTTCAAATACTTATAGATTCGTATTTAAGATATCTTAAACATATTATTCAAAGTGAACACGGAAGTAAAACAGAAAAGGCACGACTACTTATAAACAATTATAAAGAGGTAATGCTTTCATGCTTGTCTGTTTGATCCACAATATCAGTGTTAGGGCATCAGGTAATCTACGTGTTTTCCTGTGTTGAAGCCTACGTGACGAACTGACGGACTTAGGTGAAAATCAGTAACAATTATATGTTCAAACATTAATTATCTCTAGTCTTTTTTTTGAGGGTACACGATCTGATTATAGGGATGGGGACGGTTCAAAAAGAGCGACTCCGAGTCGGTTCTGGAACCGATTATAATTTCTGCATATTCTGGGTTTTCCTGAATTACAAACCATTTTACCAATTTTAAAAATCGAACCGGAACCGACTCCGGACCGGTTCCAAAAGTCGGCTCAAAATCGGATTGTCATCATATTAAAGGTAATAATAGGACGAATTTGTTGGATAAATTGATCATCACATGATGCTCTATTAGTATAAATTTAATTTAACGCTCAAAGTTTTAATTTACTTAAGAAGAGTCGAAGTAGAACCGAAGAAGAACCGAATTGGAACCGATAGAACCGTCCCCATCCCTATCTGATTACCATCTAGCAAAGAGTTGGAAAAATTTGCGAAAATTTAACATGTGTGAAATTCCGAATACATCCAAAGTATTTGGTGTGGCAATGAAATTCAAGGTAATTCTGCAACAATTTCGACCCAGGGAAATGCTAAAAGCGTTCAAGATTCTATGAGAAAAGGAAACTCTGATTCGTATTATGATAACGAGAAAGTAAGTAAAGTAAACACAAGAAGCATGACTTTATAGAGTAACACTAAAGATATCTATATGAAATTTAGAAGAAAACTACAATCTGAACAACAAACATATCCGCCAGAGCGAAATAAACAAATGGACTAGTGTTTCGGGCGAAACTAGTTCGCCTAATTGATCTGCAAAAATCTAGGGTTTCGGATAGTTTCGGAACATAGAAAAATTCTCTGGGCGAAACGTTTCGGATGTTGAAAAATAGTTTCGCCTGAAACACTAAATTGGACGCAACTAAGAGCAAGGAAGACGACGAAAATCATGAATCCAATCTACAAGATGAGAACAACAAACAAGCTATAACTAGTGGTACGTTACAAACAAATCGTTTATGCTACACGTTCACTACGTTGCTGACACAATCGTTTGAATTAACTCAGACATGGAGAATGATTTAAGAGAAGTGGTAGAATCAATGGTTCCGTCTGATCAATCTCTTTTTTTCGGTAGTCTCTAATTCATCCTATTTGGTATAAAGTTCGATTTACCTCATCACAATATTGTTGTTCGTGCTAACGGAGATTATTTCTCAGGAATCGGAAGAAATCAGCAGTGGACTTGCCGGTATGCATACAGAAAAAACAAAATGACATAACATCTAAGAGGAAATTAGATGATGTTGAGGAAGATGACATTTACGACAATTTTGAAGTAGTGAGCATCAAAGATAGCACTCTCATTGTGGGAGAAACAGATATTCGTGTAACAATGGAGGAGTCGTGTATAAAATCCAACTACATTTCAGAAATCCACACAACCTAAATACAGTATGTGATGAATATCATTTATGACGAACAAGATATCTATGTCAAAAAGAAATAATCCCGAAAAAGAAATGTACCAAATATGGAAGATACCATTGAACCAAATGAGACTTCAATGCAAACAGTGATTAGAGAAACATTGGAGGAAAAAGGCATATCCATTAAACCTGATAATGTAGAGTATGTCTATCAATAACATTCTCATATATTATTATCTAAGGATTACAGTCTTTTTCACTACAACATAATTGATAATATTTGCTCATCGTCAACAAATACACGGAATCTTTTTGAAGGTATTTGGGAGAATATGTTGGATGCTATGGAAGAGGTGCAGTGTTAGCATTGGACCTTGTCCAATTCCCAATAATGGATTATTTGACTTTGGAACTAATGGAGATGTCCAGTCCGATTCCAATTCAAATGGACTATGAATATATAATTTTGGCCAAATTTATAATGCTAGTCTAACTTAAAAATTTGAATGATAATAAAAATCATTTAACTAGAACAATTGTCCAATAGTCCAAATTTTTATGGAATTGGAATGGATTAACCAGTAGTCCAAAAGTTAACATTGAAGAGGTGACATCGATATCAATAACAAGTGAACAAAAGAATAAAAATTACGCCAATGAATCTTTCATGGGCGTGGTAAGCAGATGTTATTTTGAGATATTGAGCATAGCTTTGTTGAATACT